GTCCAGAAATATGAATGAGTGTGCGGCTTATCATAGAAATGAAAGCATGAAGTCATGACGTTAACAAATTAAAAAGAGAAAAATATCATATGCTTCATAGATTTGGGAAAAGAACAGGACAAAATTCTGAACTTACCATAAAGTAGGCTGAAACATGTATATAACAATATCATAGCAAGCAAAGAGTAAACATCGCTTTCAGTCGGTAAACACTGAAAAGTTTAATATTCAGATCAGAAACATGAAACAAAGCTTGGTATTGCTCAACTTTTTATTGGCCATCTGGTCAAAGAAATACTACAGTGAAAGAAAGTTTCATAAATATTTGGAAGAGGAGTCATAATATTGTAGCTTGTGAGCAGGATGATTATATCTTATGAAAATGCAAGGACAATTAACTGCACCCTATAAGAAAAATAAATAGCAAAGGGCCTCAGCTTTACTTACGATGACTGTTCTCAAGCAACAAAGGACAAAATAACAACAGAAGACACGATCATGCTTCAACAGCTGGTGGGACAAACTCAGACCTTCAATGTTGAGCAAAGACTGTGGACTTCATTTCTTCTTTTCCTTTTCCCACTATTTTTCCAATGAGAAGTATCCGAGTGTCCCAGGTACTAGATATCCCTTGTCCCAGACTCATCCTTAAGTCCACAAACCCAGTCCCATTCAAAGTGACAGCATGGAGGTGCCGAGACCTAAGCCCCAAGCCAAGCCTGGGTGAACGCACAGTGGTCCAAAGTGATCCAATGTGAACTTCATGCACGGGACACACATCATTAATACTCCTTAGTACTGCAAGAGAATCGAACAGAGGCACCAGCTCCTGTTGCCTACCTTAGGATTCCAGTCCAATTTCTGCTAAGATTGACAGCAACCCACATAGTTGGTTTCGTTGTGCATCCTGGTAGCCAAGCATTCCGGTACCTTCGAGGAGTCTAAAATTCATCCCAGTCTAATAGTCTACAAAAAAAAATACGGAGCTTACCACGTATGTGGCCTACCTGGTTCGGTCTACCGTTTCCACACGCTCTCCAGTTTGTGTAGAGCGCTGAAGTCACCACTAGGTTCTCGCTGAATGATCGGTCTTGGTAACAACCTCCCAACCCAAGTACTAGCTTCCACAAAATTGACTACGTAAAGGAAAAAAAGCATTAATGATTCATGAGGTTGTTGCTTTTTGTATTTACTTGAGTGTTAACTTTAATGCTCTGTTTGTACTAAGATTAACTAATATCAAGATCATTAGAGTTTAATAAAAAAAAATAACACATTTGTCTTTCAGAAAATGTAAGTGGGGTCCCAGAAGGATCAGAAAATAGCAGGGAATAAAATATATTTGAAAAAATAATGGCTAAAATGTTCTGTATTTTTAAAGAAGCATTAATGCAGAAGAACAAAGACTAAAGTGTATGCCAAGCAGAATAAACATAATGAAACCATGTAATAGTTTGAAGTATATGGGGAAAATGGTCTTAAAATAAAAGGACAAATTATGTAAACTAAAACAAAGACAAAAAATCTTAAATAATCCTAAAATAAGGATACAATGGACTGACATCTCTAAAGAACTGAGATCAATTATTCAACTTGGGGCACTAGATTTTAAAAAAAAATCTTTCAAAAATTATGCTGAAGTGGCTAGTTTTACAGTAAAACAGAAATCAAGAGAATCTGTTAGCTGGCTAACACCAGAAGAAAAGTTTATGAGTGTTTGTCTAGGTGGAAGGAAAATTGAGTTTGAGTTTCAGTGGGAAGGGTGGATCATTATAAGGGAAAGAAAAACACTGAAGTTCTAAGTTTGTGAAGACATAACAATATTTTCTGTTTCTTTAGAAGTAATTATCTTCTTTAAAGATAATTGGCCATTTAAAGTGGGAGATGACTCATGATTTCATCAGTTAGAGCATGGGAATAGTAGGTCAGGCAACCACATACAACTTTCTACTTGTTTTCTTAGATCTTGTTATTTGTTGCTCTCCCTCTCTATATACACACATATATATGTATGTGCATACATACATACATACATATACATATATATATATTAGGGTAGATCATCAAAACTGTCCAAATGCTTTTGTGGAGCTCAACTCACACACAGGAATGAACATTTAATTATACTTGTTAATGATCTTTATGCGATATATCTCTTAGAAAAACATAATAGTTTTATAGAACTCTAAGAATTCATCCCAGAACTTTACTGTTATCAATGTGTTTAAGAAAATTTATACTCCCTTTTGTATTAAGTACCAAACCTATATTGCTTTTTCTGTTAAGTATTAATTCCACTAGGTGGAGGTATTTGCTCAGTTTTGTAGTGCAAACTAGAGAGTCGGAATAAATAGTTTTCAGGGGATAAATATCAGAAAAAGAGGCATATAGTCTGTCCAAGGCCCTGCGTTGGCATTATTAGTTTAGTGTGTTGGTTTGGCAAATGTATCTCCATTGCTAAATAGAATCGTTGCTTTTAATGTTTGGCAATGTAAACTAGCAAGTTGTTTTTTTTTGTGCCATAGTGATTTCTCACTGATTCTTAGGTTTTTTTTTGCAACACTTTATAATAGCCTCTCTAGATTAAAAATATTACTATTTAAAAATTAATTTGGTTAGACAACCACCATGACATTTAAAGTGATATATGTCACATAAAGATCCACAACAAAATAGATGTTATTCTAAATTTTAATTATTGAATCTTCATTTAGATATATGCAACATTAATGCATATACTTATGTCATATGCATTTTTTTCGCATAGAACTTTTAACACTTGATTTTTTATAAAACTATGTAAAATAACATCTCTTCAAAGTTTGGGGAAGGAATGTTGGTTTTGAAATATCCAGGTGAGTGACAAAAAAGTGAGGCAATTCTTTGTTGTGAATTTCATTTTATTGTTATTGAGGTTATGGGGCTTATAACTGCATTAATGTTTACACTTTTGGAATGCCCGGCCACTCTTTGGTCTCTTCTAGTCTACACTGTCACCCCCCGCCCCCAGACTCCCTCCCGGCCCCTTGATAGCTTCAAGTCTTTTGTCAGTCTAAAGGTATATTTTCTTGGGCTATTATCCATTTCCTTTCTTTAAAAAAAATTATGTGCCACGCATGAGAGATCATCTAGCATTTGTCATCCTTTGAACCATTTTGCTTGACATGACACCATCTAATTTCATCCAAGTCGAAGCATAAGGCAACATCTCATCTTTTCTTACAGTAGTAGTCCATTGTGTAAATAAACCACAGTTGTTATTTTTAAAAAAATTCACTTCAGGTTTTTAAAATTTTTTAAAAGTCTTTTGGGTTGTTTTCAAATCTTGGTACTGGTCAAGGTAAATATAGGTGCACGCACATCTTTTCAAAGGAATGTTTCTGTGTAATGGGGATAGATGTTAAGAAGTAGAAGTGCAGAATTATATGATAGTTCAATTGATTTTTTTCCAATAGGAAGACTGACCCAGGTTCGATTCCTCCACCCCTCTCGGAGAGCCTGGCAAGCTACCGAGAGTATCTCACCCGCACGGCAAGGCCTGACAAGCTATCCATGATGTATTCGTTATGCCAAACACAGTAACAAGTGTCACAATGGAGATGTTACTGGGCCTGCTCGAGCAAATCGATGAACAATGGGAGGACAGTGACAGTGACAGTGACAGGAAGGCTTATTGGAAAATAGAAGGGAAAGGAAGGAAACTCCCCAGCTGGGGAGGAAGTTTGTATTGTCGTCGTTAGATATCTTTTGGTTCTTTTTAGAGGGGGTTCCAGAGCAGAGTTCCTGGGTCCTGGGGGTTACTCCTGGTGACACCAGGCCAGCAGAACCAGATGCTGGGACCCAGCTGTGTGGCTTTCAGTCAGGCCCAGCAGGTAGCAGGCCTCCAGAGCTGTACCTGGAGGTACTGGAATCAAATTCTGGGCATTGTGCACTCATGGCATGTGTTCCTTACCCCTCATCTTAACTTTTGGAAAAGTCTTTGCACTATTTTCCATAGAGGTTGAATCAAACAATAGTCCCACTGACTGAGAATGAGTGTTTTTTTTTTAAATTTTTTTTTACCAGTACTGATTGTTTCCAGACTTTTTTTTGGATATAAACAATTCTGACTGGTGTGTGGTGATGTCTCATTGTTTAGATTTGAAATTCCCTGATAATCATTAGTAATGAACACTTTTTCATTTCTGTTGTTCATCTGTATGTCTTCCTTAATTCTTAATGTAACTGAAATATAGAAAGTTTAAAGTTTTGTAGGCTTTTTATTTCCAGTTTGAAATTGGTCATCATCTTGGATTTCTACTTAATGCCTTTATTGGTGCCAACATTATATGGAAACAATATCTTTCCAGTTAAATAGGAAATTCATCCTCCTGTTTTGTATTTGAAGTTATAATGCTGTGTCATTAGTTAATTGACTTCAAGGAAGTAAGTCTCTGAAATGTCAAAGCTTTCTGAAAGCAACTCAATTCTCTTTTATGCTGTTGGTTTAAGAAATTCTTTCTTGTATAAGTGCTATTGTTCCTAGTTTTATTGTTGTAAAGATACTCCATTAAATATTTACAGCTGTTTTCATAAACTGATGAAAAACATGACGGGCTTTTGCATGCCAGTCCCTTAGAGAAAATGTAATGATTGATGTTCTTGTATTTCTGTCTTACGTCACTGAGAATGACAACTTGGGTGTGCATAAGATTATTACTAAAGAAATTTTCCAATTACTGTTAAATTTATTTAAGAAAATTTTATATTGTTTGGGCGATATGGTTATGATAGTGTTAAAGTTTATAATGTTGGTGTATGTTATTGTATATATTGTGTATAATATTGATGTACCAAGTTATTGTAAACACTGCAAGTAAAATAAAAATATTTGTAAATATGTAATAGATCTCATCTTATATAAAAATATGAATTTTAATTGTAAACAGTTACTCAGTATGCTCTGAATTAAGTAAGATGTCCCACTCATTCACAGACCTAATGACTGATGTTTTCTTTAGGATGAAGGCCTGGCCCGCCAGCTGGTGGAGCTAGGCTACCGAGGGATTGGAGAGGTGATCAAAAGGGAAGATTTTGAAGCAAGAAAGGCAGCAATAGAGGTGACAAGATTGGCCGAAAGAAGTCAGAAAAAGTGAGTGTCTCATTCCAAATCTAGATTTTATATTATATTGTGAAGATTCTGGAAAAAGTTCAGGTTTCTTGTTTGCATTGTTGTAACTGAGAAACTGGAGCAGGTGGAATCAGAATCTCCCAAGCATGAACTCTCCGATTCAGAGGGACGTGTAAGAAAGCCTCTATGGGTAGGGGGCCTACCTTGCGTGTGCCTGACCTGGGTGTGGTTCCGTCCCTGGCACCACATATGGTCCTCTGAACCCGTCAGTAGAGAACCTTGAGCACAGAACCTGGAGTAAGTCCTGAGCAATGCTGGGTGTGGCCCTCAAACAAACAGACAAAACCCAAACTAACACCCCCACCCCAAAAAAAAAAACCCTCATGTAATTTCTGTGATTATTTGAGAAGTAGGAATATAAAAATACAGTTTCAAACCCCCAAAGTCCTGATAAAATCCACTATTATTACTTTTATATACTTACTAAAAATCTGAGTGACTTTTGCTCTAGAAGTCTTTGTGATTTTAAGGTCTGTAAATTTCTGGTCTTATTTCTTTTTTCTGGCAGTTCTGAAAGCTTTGACTCATTTGACCATAATGGTCACTGACTCTTGTTAATGTGACTAGTTATGGTTTTATAAAATATAATTGTAACAAAATATGTTAGATAGTATGAAAGAGATGCACACCGAAAGTAAGTAGCATTAAAACTGATAAGTCATTTTGAAAAAAGACTTGACAAGTAGCCATTTACTCTCTAAATTGAGTGCTAAAGTTTAAGTTATGATGTAGATACATAATAGAAAATTTGTTATTGTTATTATTTTGTTTTACGCGGGCCCTACTCAGTGGTGCTTAGGCTAGTCCTGGCTCTGTTCTCAGGGATCACTCCTGATGGGGCTTGAGGGATGGTGTTGTGAACCTGGGATTAAACCCAGGTCGACCATCTGCAAGGCAAGTGCCCTATCCACTGTACTTTTTCTCCAGCTCTGTTTGTTATTTGTAATAAAACCCAATAACTATTAATATTTTGTAGCAGGATGTGAGCTGGTTCTGGGAATGTGAAAATTTGAATAGATCTCTCTAGTGCTTATGTTTCTGAACGATGAAATAGTGGAATTTAATATATATATCTTGTTATACATTAGTTTCTGTTGCTGCTGTAACTCATTACAAAGTTATCGGCTTTGAAAAACAAGTTTATTCACAGTTGTATAGCTCACAAGTCTGAAGAAAGTGATTCACTCGAGTTCTTGGCATGTTACAGAATGGAAACCTTGGTACTGGCTGGACTGAGTGTTTAACTGGAGGCTCTGAGGATAAACCCACCTTCCACACATATTGCAGCAGGAGTGTGGTGCTGGGCAAAATGAGCTTCTGGGTTTCCCTTTTCTTGTCAACTGTCATTTGGGGACGTGTCTGCTCTTATACTGCCCACATTCCTTTTGTTCCTTTCTGCCTGGTCCGTTTCTAGCAGAAATGGGCCAAGATATTCTCACCCTTCATAGTTTTCTGACTTCCTGTTCTGTAACATCTTTCCTGCCTCCAGCCGGAGAAGGATCTCTTTAGGTTGATAATCACTCTGGACCTGTCAAGATAATCTAAGTTTTAAAAATCATCTAGCATAATGTTTTTGTTTTAAATTCTATTTGCAAAACCCTTTTGCTACTTCATGAAACATATTTATCAGTTATCGGGATTAGGGCATAGGTGTAACTGGGAGGGGGCAGTCTGCTTCTCTGGTGTAATATACGTCTTCAATGACATCACACAGTTACACTTACACTTCTTAGAAAATGGATGTGATGCAGTACACATGCAGTATATTGTATCAGGCTCTTCTTTCTATGGTTATCACTAATTGTCCAGCAGCCAGGATACTGGAGCGTTCCTGGGTGAAACCTTGTAAGGAATTAATGTGTGCTAAAATTTTATTGGAGATGTAATCTGTTTCCTATCCAGAGAGGAGTTGGTCATGTTTAAAGTGTCAGTCCCATCCATGTCCATGTCCATTTTGTGTTTGGGGATCAAAGTGGGTATTTGTTCTACGCAGTAGTGTCTTTAACCGGTCAGAGCTGGAAATCATCAGGCTAATTAAGTGCCATTCATGGGAGGCTAATCCCTTTCCAGAGCTGCTAAAATTTGAAGGTCCTTTCATCTGCAGATCTTCTCCGGCTCTCTTTGTAACGGGATGGGTCCCATATGTTGTCTATTGTCCCACGTGGGAATCACTACGCTGGCTTCACTGTTGTGGTGTTATTGGCAGTAGGGCCAGCAGAGGGCGACCAAGAGCCAAATACGGCCCACGTGTGTGTTTTGCAAGCGCATCACTGAAAATATATCGGAACATCTGACTACTTGTCCAGCAGCACCAACTGGAAAACTTTTATTTCAATTATAAGTTTATCTTACTTTGAGTTTCCCTAATGTATAGCTGAGCAATCCTAAAGAGACCACAGTTCTCTGGGTATCCCTTCATGAAGTACTGACACCGAAGAGTGTGTTGTTTTCTTAAATAATTTTACGGAGGACAGAGTCTGGAGAGATGCAAGTTGAAAATATTGGGGGAAGGTATTTTGATGAAGGGAATTTATTGGTAAAATTTTTTTTATCAGAATGAGGCATAAGAAAAATTCCTTCAGACTTTTTATTCACCGATGCATTTCAAAAGTACTCATGAATATAATCTTATATATTAGGCACTATTGTAGGTTCTGGGATATAAAGAAGAGAGTATTTGGTCCCCACCCTCAAGAAATTTGAAGCCTACGTAAATGAAAACACATAATGACATTACTGGTGGGATTATAAAATACAAAATAATTTTATAATTCTTCTAAAAGATAAACATAGAAATATACTCCAGAAATTCTATTGCTAAATATAGACTCAAGAGAATTGAAAAAGATAATACCACTTAAAAACTCATGCATCAATGGTCATAGCAATATTATTCACTGAATAGAATCCATAATACAGCTCTTAGAGGATCCTGAGTTTGAACACCCTGTTTGACTAGGGCTTCGATGATCACTTCCATCTCAACAGAATCAAAGGCCTTCTTTAAATCAATGAACGTTAGAGAGGCATCTTAAACTCTTGAGAAACCTCAATGAGCTTGGTCACCATGTGGATATGGTCGATCATGCTGGATACTTTTCAGAGCCTGGCTAGCTCGCATGGTTGTCCTTCGTCTAGAGTTCTGCCAACCCTATTCAGGATGACTTGAGTGAACAACTTGTAGATGGTGGACAACAGGCAGATCGGGCGATAATTGCCAATGTCGTGGATGTCTCCCTTCTGGACAACAGAATGGTCCTGCTGGTTTTCCATTGGGATGGAAACTTGCATTCAGACAGGTAGTGTGTGACGAGCCGAGCTAGTGTATTGACGAGTACTGGTGGCAGATTCTTCAGGTGTTCTGGTCTGACCTTGACTGGACTGGGTGCTATATGCTTCTTTACTGATGAAATGGCATGTTGGATTTTGGAAGGGAGAACACTTGGAACTCATATTCATCCTGCAGAATTTGGTATGTGGGCAGGTTGACGTAGCTATTGAAGAGATCTGAGTAGAAGAAGTCGTGGATAACCTTTTCCATTGCACTTCTGGAAGATGTGATAGATATATAATGAAAAGGGTATCTGTGAGAATTTAGATTACTGGTCTTTAACCATCACTCCACAGACCAGTAGGGTCTGCGGGTGTTGAAACCTTCAAAGTACTCATCTACTGCCTTGGTTTTTACTGCTAGCTCATGAACGATGAGTATGCAGAATAGGTGCTGGTGTGCAGGCAAAAGAGGGGGAGAAGGAAATGAAAAGTCAAGAAATGGGACTAAGCACAGACAGAACCTTGTCAAAGTTTCAGAGACTTTCTTGGCACAAGGAGAGCTTCAGGGTAAAGGTTGCTCATTCAGAGAACCCCACATTTGGTGAAATGGCTCATGCTAGTATTGCAACTGTGTCTAGGCACTGGTGGAGGCTGCTTTACTCAACTGTGTCTAGTCACTGATGTGTGCTCACCTTGAAAGATGAGAATGGACTCTGAAGGGGAAATCAATCATGGTGGTCCATCAGTCCACCATGCTTACCAGCCAAGTGGGAGCCCTGTCTCCCAAGGGTATCTGAGTGGTGCCTGTCCATGTGCCCACCCCTGCAACTGGCCCTCTCTGTACATCTACCAAGTAGCTTTTCCAGAGCGTTGTGGACCATTGTCTCCTGAGAGGAAACTTAGAAGAAGAGTCTATGGGCTGAGCTTCATTACTTATCACTGCAGTTGACTGAGGGGCAGAACTGGTTCTCATCTCCTTCTAGCCTCTCTATCACTTTAATACCTTCTTTACTCTCATCTGGAACTCTCATTTGCAAGACCTCTCATTTGCAAGTCCTAATATCCCTACTCTCTGTAGACTGGAGTCAATACATTTGTTATTGCTACTAAAAGTTTTCTTGGGGAGTATTCTTAGCGGTTCTCTGTTCCATTGCCTGCCTTTGTCATATGTTCATCCAGTCTCTAAGAGCAGCCCTGCTTTTCCTCATCAGCACTAATTGCTGATCAGAGATGGTATTCTCTCTTTTCTGGCACATGCATAGTAGAACAGTGTGCCCATGTAATAGCTGTAGTTGTGTTTCAGTTGAGCCAGAGCGATAGCATAGCGGGTAGGGCATTTGCCTTGCATGTGGCTGACCCAGATTCAGTTCCTCCGCCACTCTCAGAGAGCCCAGCAAGGTACTGAGAGTATTCCGACCGCATGGCAAAGTCTGGCAAGCTACCTGTGATGTTATGCCCAAAACAGTAACAACAAGTCTCACAATGGAGATGTTACTGGTGCCTGCTCAAGCAAATCCATGAACAATGGGAGGACAGTGCTGCAGTGCAGTGCTACAGTGTTTCAGTTAGGCATCTTCACTTTTCATCAGAAAGGGGGACTTAAGTGGTGACATCTCATCTTTGAGTCTGTTGCCTTTAAGCTGATGATTTAACTGATGCCTTTGTGGACCATTTCAGCACCCTGATGT